ACACTTCCGTTGTCAGATATATGATTTACAAAATCTTTCTCCCATTCTGTGGGTTATCTTTTCACTTTATTGTTCCCAGTTAAGATGGTGTCCTTTGAAGCACAAAAGTTCTTAATTTTGATGATGTCCAATTTATCTGTTTTTTCTTTTGTTGCTTGTGCTTTTGATGCCACATCTAAGAAACCACTGCCTAATCCAAGTTCACAAAGATTTACCTGTATGTATTCTAAAAAGTTTTATAGTTTAGTTCTTACATTTTGGACTTAGACCCATTTTGAGTTGTTTGTTTGTTTGTTTGTTTTTATGGGCAAAGTAGGGCTCTGATTTCATTCTTTTGCATATGGATATCTGAGTTGTGCCATTTGTTGAAAAGACTGTTAATTCCTCTCTGTGATTATTTTGGCTCCCCTGTTGAAAAACAGTTAACCATAAATGTGAGGGTTTATTTCTGGACTCTCAATTCTATCCATGGGTCTGTGTTTATTTTGTGCCAGCACTACATTGACTCAATTACTGTTGGTTTGCAGTAAGTTTTGAAATCAGAGAGTGTGAATTCTCCAACTTCGTTCTTTCCCTTTCGTTTTGGGTCCCTTGAGTTTCCAGTTGTCATCTTTCTTGTCAATCTTTTTGAAAATGAATCTTCTTTTAAATTTTACATCATTGCAAACACACTCCATGGCAATTATTTTCAAGTATTCCTGCTTTTTCCACCTAACTGTATATTGTAAAACTCACCGCCCCCATATTATAACCGTATTTACATATGGCTGGCTACATAGTTTAGTTATTTTCCTATTAGACACTAGTTTCTTTTTTTATAGGCAAATGTATTTTATAAGATGCCCAGATCTCATTTTTTTCCATCATAATACATCATATAAATTCAGGGAAAACATTTAAACGTTTTTCAGATCACATGATCTGATATAGAATTTCTAACCAGAAGAATCCTCCAACTCAATTTGAAGAAAAAAACTTTTTAAGCATTTTTTAAATTAATTAATTTAGTTTTGGCTGCGTTGGGTCTTCGTTGCTGCGTAAGGGCTTTCTCTAGTTGTGGCGAGTGAGGGTCACGCTTCATTGTGGTGTGCGGGCTTCCCATCGTGGTGGCTTCTCTTGTTGTGGAACACGGGCTCTAGGAGCGTGGGCTTCAGTAGTTGCGGCACGCGGGCTCAACAGTTGTGGACACGTTTCTAAATTTCACTATTGCTGCTGTGGCTGGCTTCATTCCTAACTTTTGGGGAACCTGGGTGAAAAGTATATAGGCATGCTTTGTACACTTGCAGCTTTTCTGTAGGTGTGAAATTATGTCAAAATAAAACGTCAGAAAAAAAAAATCTGCCCCTTTGAGGGGATTCCATGCGGGGAAAGCATCTTTTTCTGCACTGGTCCAACCCTTGCCCATCTATCCAGCCCTCGCCCATCGGTCCAGCCCCCTCTCACAGCGCACAATCACTGCACACTTATTCTCTGATCACCCTGCGCGGTGGGGACCGGGATTGTTCTGGCGCGGGGAGCTGCGGGGCCTGGGGGCTGCTTTCCTGGACACTTGGCGGGTGGCGACCGGAGCGGCCCAGCATCCTCCGAGCGGACACCCGCCCTGCCTCTCGCCTGCCCAGGCGCGACGACGCCCCCGCCTCCCCTCCTGCAGGGCGCCCCGGGCCCTCAGCTCACCGCGACCCTCCGCAGCCCCGCGGACTCCTCCCTCCGCCCGCCCTCCTTTGCCCAGCCGGAGCCCCCAGTCTCCCAGTTGGCAGAGTGAAGACGCTGCTCCTCTCTAGAAAACGCCACTACCCTGACACCCCTCCCCTCCGCCTTCCTCCTCTCGCTCTAAAGCTGCTGCTGGAAGTCCCCGCCGCCCCCCTGCCCCTGGGCTCCAGGCAGGTGCAGGTCCAGGTCCCATGGGGCCCTCCTGCCCTGGTCCCCCGCCCGCTCCGCATTTCCACGTTCTCCGCATCCTCCGTCGAATCCCCTCCTTCCCGCGTTCTCCCGCCCCCTTTCCCATCCTTGCTTTCAGTCCTCCGCCTCCCACTGCCTCATCCTCCGCGCCTTCCTCTCGCACCTACGCTCCGCCCAACTCCGACTGCGCGCTCTGGGTCCCCGCACCTCTGCCCCTGCCTGGGCTCCGAGTGCCGTACCCCATCCGCACCCTGCGCCTCTCCGCCCGCTCCCCTGCCAGGTCTCCACCCTGGGCACCTTAGGAGCCCAAGTCCACAAAGACCCCTGCCGTGGTGGCGTTGAGCTTACGTTATGGGGGGTGGGTTGGGGAGAAGCAATAGATAATAATAAACAATGAGTCACATGGGCTCTTAGAAGAGGTACTTGCTGTGGGGCAATCAGACAGGGAGGAGGAGAGGCTGCGACTTGTGTTGGAGTGTCTGAGGATGACGAGGAGTACGGATCTCACCCGCGTTCTTCGGATAGCCGGCCATCTGCCGGATTGTCACTGAGGAATCATCCCTGGCCCCTGCAGAAGGCAAGTTAGAGCCGGTGCCCGGGCCTCAAAAGGCCTGGGTGGGCGTCCGGAATCTGCTGGGCCTGACGGCGTCCGCGCGCGCCTCCTCCCGGCCTCCAGGAGAATCAGCCGCACTGAGCCTGGCGGCGGCTGGGGGAACCGGGGCGTGCCTGGACCAGCTCTCCAAGCTAACCAAGGAAAATGCAACCCCCAGGAAAAAGCACGCAGAGGTTGTGCACACAAGATGAAGCGCGGGGCGTTATCAATATTTTCTTCTTCTTCTTCTTTTTTTAAATATTTTCTTCTTAATGATATTACCGGATGTTTGCAAGGATGCCTGAGAGCCGGGTATTCACGGGCCGCGGGTGGAATGATAGTGGCTGTGTCCAACCCGTGTGCAGGAATCTCACCCAAGGCTTTTGAAAGGATTGTTACCAACCTGGAAACAACGGATACGTCCAACAATCAGGACTGGTTGGATAAATGATCCACCCCTGTAGTGGTACGTTGTAAAATGGACGCTGGAGAGACATTTGTAATACATTAAGAAAAAAATAGGGAATTCTCTGGTGGTCCAGTGGTTAGGACTCCGTGCTTTCACTGCCGGGGTCGGGGTTTGATCCCTGGTCGAGAACTAAAATCCCGCAAGCCACGCAGTGCGGCAAAAAAAAAAAAAAAAAGGCACTTTATCACCCCAATTTTCTGAATATAAAAAATATTTATCATAGACTTATCTCTAGATGGTGGAATTATTGTAGATTTTGTAATATTTTTTCATAATCAATATTTTCTGTTTATTTTCATGACCATGAATTACCTTTTTTTGTTTGTTTTTTAGCCTGAAGGAAAGACCAATGCAAGATATTTTAAAAAAGTAAGTGTAGGGACTTCCCTGGTGGCGTAGTGGATAAGACGCTGCGCTCCCAACGCAGGGAGCCCGGATTCTATCCCTGGTTGGGGAACTAGATCCCACATTCATGCCACAACTAAGGAGCCCATGTGCTGCAACTAAGACCCGGTGCAGCCAAGTAAATAAATATTTAAAAAATAAGTGTACAGTAGTCATCCTATTTACTTTTTATCCCCATCATAATTAATGCCCCCACCCAACCACTCACTGAGTGCAGAGACTCAGAACTGGTATCAATCTGTCACTTCTGAGGGATTTCTGCTCCGTTGACACTGGTGGGAACCACTCTTGACCGACAGGAACACACCCGTCCAGCAGGATGCCAACTGTGTGAACTGGAAGGCCACTTGCCCCCAGCTGCCTTCTCCCCTTGGATTCTCCTCCTGGTGGATGGCACTGTCATCCCAGACTGGGCAGGCCAGTCTTCCCTCAAACACTGTCCCCCAAAAGAGGCCTTCACTGAGCCCTTCTCAGTCCCCTTCTAGCATCTCCCATCTCCCCTCCCTTTTCTCTCCCCCGGGCTGTGGTGGTGCCCTCACCGGCCTCTCCGCTCCCACTTGGGACCCCCTCCAGTCTGTTCTCCTCAGGGCACCAAGGGAGTTTTGTAAAACGACACTGACCACATTCCTCCTCTGCATAAATCCGTCCCAACCTCCTACTACCCGTGATGAGCCTGGAACCTACCTGTGGCCTCAAGGCCCTGGGCCAGTAGCCTCTGCCAACCATTCCTGCCTCGTGGCCTTCCTGTCCTACTCCGTCTGGGCTCACTCCTCCTAAGCCCGCCCTCTTCACCTTTCAGTTCCCTCCACGGGGCTTCCTCAGGCACCTGTCATATGCTGAGGAGCTCCTGGTCCTCTCCTGGGCAGCCCTTAGCCCCAGATTTCATGGACTCATCAGCAGGACGTCCTGTGTCTCCTGTCTACCTCTGGGAGGCTGGGGTTGTGACCTGTTTACCACTAGGTCCTGTGTACCCTGCCCTGGGCAGACATTAAGGTCCTCAAGAAGTGATGAGGCAAGAAAGCGGCAGGACTAGGAGGGAGAGGGAGGGTGAATCTAGGTGAGGGATATGTGGTGTTGCCTGCATGTTCCTTCAACTTTTATGGGAGTTTGAAATGTTTCAAAATTTAAAAAATAAGAAAAGCTTAACACCTCCGGATCCAGTGTATGAGCTCCCTGCCTGGCTTGGCAGTGGCTTCCCACCCTCCTGGCAAATGACAGGCACCACAGGCCGCTTGAGCCCCCGGAGGGAGGTACACCCTTCCTGTGCCCCCACCCAGCCTCCAGGGGCCACCTAGTCAACCAGGCCCCCTCACTGGGGACCCAAGTGCCACCCCCGCCCCAGGCTCCCATGGCAGCTGCAGAAGGGGTCGATGGTGCCACAGCAAAATGCAGGGGAGTGGACGCCCGCAGTGACCCTGCCCAGGCCAGGACTGCCTGGAGTCCAGGATGAGTGGCAGGGGTCAAGGCTGGCCAGCCCCTCTCCCCACCTCCTCTACTCCATGCCTCCTCCACCACCAAATGTTAAACCAGAGCAAGCCCTCAGGCGGTCTCCTCAACTGACAGAACCAGCCCTCCAGGATGACTCAGAGCCTCAGGAAAGGAGAAATCTTGTGGGGGATGGGAATCTATTTAAATATAGAATTCAGACAAAACAACTTTTCAAGTTATGGTTACAGAATATAATTGTTACAGACAACCATGCTGTAAAAATAACAGCAAAACGGAGAGTTGGGCGCTGCGGATGTGCTGCGTAACTCACTTTTCCCAAGAGGGAGTCAACAGATACTGATTAAATTTGGAAAATGTTTGAAAACATAAGTCCTCTAAACTCTACTTTTAAAAAATAATCCATTTCCTTTTGCCCAAAGGCAGTTTTCAAATGATGAGGACCACGTGGGCTGAAGCAACTTGAGGCCGATGCCTTTTCTCAGGGGACCCCGACTTATGGTTGAAGGAGGGGAACAGTGTTTCTTCATCTTTCCCTCCAGCAGGGCAGCACCCAGGGGACCTGAGGAGGGGCTCAGGCTCCCAGGAATCTCCCTCAGCCCCCAAACCACCCAGAAGGAACATGGCAGGGGCACAATACACTTCTGTCAGGCGTGCCCCCTCACACCGCAGGTTCACCTCCTCAGCAGAACCTTGGGCTGCCATGGACATCAGGGCCCCTGTGCACAGGGGCTGTCAGTCCTGTGTGGCTCCCTGGAGGAGGTGGCCTTTATGAGGGTCCAGCAGGAAGAAGCAGGCTGAGGCCTCCTGGGAACTGGCCCTGGAAGGAGAGCCAGGGAGGGGCAGGATTGGCTTCCCAGGGGTTCAGGGCTGGACACCAAAGGCAGCAGAAAGTGGAAACCTCAGAGACTCCACCTCGTCTCTGAGTCAGTGGTCGGGTTTTCCAGGCTGAGGAGGCCCTGGGGGATGGAGGCCGCTGGAGAGCCCTCCTGGGCCTGAGAGATGGCCCAGGCCAGGAAGCCCTGGAGCAGGGCCAGGTAAGGGCTGGTGGGGGTTGGGGAGGCCCAGGAGCAGGGGGGTGGGGATTGGAGCTGGGACCTCAAAGGACCCAGAATCATGGAATTTTAAAAACCTACCTGTGGTGGGATCTAGTGTACAGCTTCTTTTATTCTCTTTTTAATTATTTTTTTCTGCTTACAAAAGTAAATTATGCTTGATCAGAAAAAGATTACAATGTTGAAAGTGAAAATCAGTCAGCGGCTGGGCCGCAGACAGGAGCCCAGTGGAACGTGTAGAAGTTGCAGCCAAGTTCACTGACCCAGCCAGGATGCACCCTCAGTTGTCAGGGCTACGGGTCCTCCCTGGACACGATGGGGCCCATGGTGGACTCCTCCCCATCCACCAAGGGACTGGGGGCAGGCTGTCCTGCCAACCTTCCATCTTCTTTTCCGTCTGGAAGAGAAGGGGATGGGTCAGGCTGTTGTCAAAGGAAAAGGGGGAAGGGGTGGGGGGCAAACCTGGGGGTCCCAGCTGCCAGAGCAGGGGCAGGGATTGCTGACTCCATAGACATGCTCCCAAAGGCCACTGGCCCAGGGACACAGAGGCTGTTTCCAGGAAACTTTGGGCCAAATCTGGGCTGAGCATCAGGAAGCTGCTGCTCCCTCCCCGCTGCCTGGCCCAGGACGGGGCAGGAGGTGGGGAGGGCCGTGGACAGGTCTGGAGGTAAAGACAGAGAGGCAGGTTGAGAGGTGTTGACTGCCCATGAGCACCTGCCCAGGGGAGCCCATGGGGCCAAGCTGCAGCCCTTGTTCCGCTCTTCATCTCTCCATCTGAGGAAGGGTGACTTTGTCCTGATTCTCACAAAGGTGCCATATGGGGTGGGGTCCATATGGCCCCAGAGCCTGCCTGATCTGAGAAGTGAGCAGAGGTCTCAGTTGGGGTAGAAATGGCCTGTCCCATCCAGCTCAGCTGGAAGAATGGGCTCTGAGCCAGAGGGGGCCCCCCCCATCCTTTGCAGTGAGCTAGCTGGTGGCCTCAGGGTGGTGACTTGGCCCTTCTGAGCCCTGCCTCCACACAGGTACTGAGGACAGAACCCTCTCTGCACTGGGCAGAGGCAGGTGGACATGAGGAGGCGCTTGGAGCAGAACAGGCTGGTGGAAGGGCTCAAGGGTGAGCCAGGCCCACTGCAGAGGGGCCTCCAGGCTCTGGGGTCCCTGACTCCAGCAGGCAATGGAGCCTGAGGGGTCCCTCAGGTCCCCTGAGAACTCTAGGCTTGTGGCTGGGGATGCCCCTATCTCATGAAAAACACATAAGAGTAGACACGGAGAGAAATAGGCCCAGGAACACAGACATATAAGAACCCACACAAACTTACTCTCCTAGGCAAATACACACATAGGGAGACAGAACCTTAGAGAAACACACGCACACACACACACGCACGCACACACACACACACACACACACACACACACGGAGGCCTATAGACACGCAGAGATTCACACTGAGATAATGTAGACAGATGCACGCAGAAATGTTCACAGCACACACATACTCCCCTGAGCCAGCCAAGCCTGCTGTCCCCCTGGCTGCCCAGGTGACAGGGGACTTCGGCCCCAGGAAGGTCTTGCTCCCGCCCTGCTCGCTGGGCTGGGGCCTCACCTGTGTCCAGCTTGCTGCGTTTTTGCTCGGGCTCCTGGGGGGCGGCCTCGATGGCCCGCTGAGCCTCGGGATGGATCTTGAGGAGGGCTTTGGCAAGGGTGGCGGGGCCGGGCACCCCCAGGGACATGATGCAGTGCACTCCTTTGCGCTTGGCCCCCGCCACTTTGGCACTGTCCTTGGAGGCCGTCAGCAGCACCAGTTTGGAGAACTTTCTGGGCTTCCTGGGGGCTGCGGGGACGACATCTGTGCCCGGCTCAGGGGACTCAGGGGAGGGCTCCTGGCCGGCCTTCACGCTCTCGCCCTCCTGCTCACTGGGCTCGGGCAGGGGCATTCCGGGACCGATGGCCTGGCCCCCAGGCCACGCTCAGGCCCCAGCAGATGGATTTCTCCTCCACCTCCCTGGAAGGAACCCAGCAGTTCAAGAGCTCTGTCCTAAGGCAGGAGGCAAAATCTCATCAGTGGAGGTGCCCTTAGGCTTGGGTTCAGGAAGAATCTGGGCTGGAGGTTGGGGCAGATGGGGCTGCCTTGGTGCCCCCGGGAAAGGACCTGAATGGAGCCAGAGAACCCTGGGCTGGTGCTTCTGCTCTCTTGGTAGCCTTGGGTCCGTCACCTCCCCCAGCCAAACCTCACTTTCCCATCTACAAAATGTGCCCAAAACAGGGCTCTCAAGGGGTTACTGGGGTGACCAAGGTGCTGACAGCTGAGTTACTAGGAATCCAGGCCCACAGGTGCTGAGCACGGGGTGAAGTGCTTCCACAGGTGTTTCCACTTAACCTTCAGCCCCCATGTTATGAAAGTTGATCTTTCTCATTGACCCAGGTTACAGATGAGGACACTGAGGCATGCAGCCATGAAGGCAGAGCTGGGAGTCCAGTCGAGGTGGGTCCAGAGCCCGCCCGTACAGCACCTGGGGTACCTTGTCCAGGATAATGGACACCCATCTTCCTGAGCACCAGTCTTCAGGGAAAAGTACTTTGGGGACATGAGCTCAGGTCACTGATACTCCCAGAATGCCCGGTGCCCTTCACCCTGACACTGTGTCACCGGGAACATGGGCTGGGCCCTGGGAGGCAGAGCTCTCCAGATTTACAACTAGATCCAGCCCCCATCCCAGGCCAGAGGCCCCAGGGCACCCAGTGCTAGGGGACACTAGGACCCCACGAGGGCAGTGACCTTGTGTCTGAGCTGGTGCTAGCTCTGCCTCAGCTGAGTGGGTACAGGGCTGTGGAGGTGTCCAGAGAATCCGTGGTCACTGAGGGCTCCCTGGCTTCTGGTCTGGAGAAGCAGAAAGGATGGATGACAGGGAATTCCCTGGTGGTCCAATGATTAGGACTCTGCACTTTCACTGCCGGGGGCCCGGGTTCAACGTCTGGTCAGGGAACTAAGATCCCACAAGGCACATGGCATGGCCAAAAAAAAAAAGAAAAGAAAAGAAAAAAATGGATGACAGGGGCAGCGCTGGCCTGGAGACCGGGGCTCTGGGGCATCAGTGTGGGCTAGCTGTTTTGTCTGTTGGGGGTGATTGGGTGGTGGGCAGATGGCGGGGTCTTTCTCAGTTTCCAGTTTAGCCCAGAAACAAGATTGCCGCCTTGGCAGACATCTCACCCTCCCTGTCCAGGACTCAGGCAGCACCGAGGCCCGTACACTCTTACTTGGCCCCCTAGACCTGTTTCTCCAACCTGGCTTTTAGTTGTGTTTCTCTGGGCCCCTCCAATGCACATGGCTTGAGGTGTCCATGCCCCGCACCCCAAAGTCTTCGAAGACCCCTTCATCCATGAGAGGAGCCTGAGGTGCAAGGCCAGTGCATGGTTGGGGTGCCTTGCCCCCTGCAAGCTCCCCTTCTCAGTCAACTAGACATGAAAGCAGAGACCTGACAACTAGACACGAAAGCAGAGACCTCCCAACTGCGACAGAGGAGGACCCCCACCTCCAGGGGGTGTAGCCTCAGGTAAATGCTTCCTGGTAGCAAGTCACCTGACCACAGGCACCCCTGGGATTGATGTCTCATTATCCCTTCTGTCCCTGGTCCAGCCCCTGGATAAGCTAACCCCTACTCCTCCCATGTGGTCCTTCCCAGCTCTGCCCATCCTGCCCCACAGGGCAGGCAACATGGTGGTACCTGGGACCTGGGGGGACATGGGGCCCAGCAGAAAAGACACTGCCTACCCCCCCCACCACGACCCAGAGAACCACTCTGGGCAGGAAAGGGTTATGGTGGGAAGCCCCACCCACAGGACCCTGCCCCCACACCCTGACTGGCCTGGTGTACAACCCTGGCCAGCAGCCCACACCTCTGTGGTCCAGGGATGAAACTCCAGGTGGTTGGACCCCTTTCTCACATCATAAAAATAATTAACTCTAAATGACCATAGACTTAATTATGAGAGCTAGTGATAAAACTCTTAAAAAAAATAAGAAATGAGTAAATCTTCCTGACCTTGGATTAGGCAAAGCTTTCTTCAGTACGACACTAAAAGTACAGGTAACCAAAAAAGAAACACAAAAATTTGACTTCATCAAAATTTAAAACTTTTGTGAGTCAAAGGACACCATCAAGAGAATTAAAAGGCAGCCCATAGGATGGGAGAACATTTTTGCAGATCATACATCTGATAAGGGACTTGTATCTAGAATTTATAAAGAACACATAACTCAGTAATAAAAAGACAAATAACTCAATTTTTAAAATGGGCAAAGGATCTGAATAGGCCTTTCTCCAAAGAAAATATACAAGTGGCCAGTAAGCACAAGATGTTCAACATCATTAGTCATGAGGGAAATGCAGATCAAACTATAATGAGATACTATTTCACACTACTAGAATGGATCTAATAAAACAAAACAAAAAAACCAGACAATAACAAGTGTTGGTGAGGATGAGGAGAAAATGGAACCCTCATACCCTGCTGCTGGGGATGTAAATAGTGCAGCCACTTTGGAAAACAGTCTGATGATTTCTCAAAAGGTTAAACATAGAATTACCATATGATCCAGCAATTCCACTCCTAAGTGTATCCCCAAGAGAAATGGAAACTGATGTCTACATAAAAACTTGTACATGAATATTTGCAGCAGCATTATTCATAGATGCCAAAAAGTGAAACAGCCCAAATATCTATCAACAGATAAATGAATAAATGTGATGTATCCACACAATGGAATATTTTTTGATAATTAAAAAAATTCATGCCACGACATGGGTGAACCTTGGAAAGATTAGCTAAGTGAAAGAAGCCAGTCATGAAAGATCACATATTATACACTCCATTTCTATAAAATGACCTGGAGTCTATAGAAAATCTATAGAGTAGAAAAATCCATAGAGACAGAAAGTAGATTTGTGATTGTCTAGGGCTGGGGGTGGGAGGGATGGGGACCAGAAGAGTGAGGAGTGAATTCTAGTATGTATGGGGTTTCTGGGGTGATGAAAAAGTTCTAAAACTGATTGTGGTGATGGCTGCACAACTTGGTGAATTTACTAAAAGCCATTGAATTGTACATTGTGAGTGAGTTAATTGCATGGTATGTAAATTATCTCAATAAAACTTATGTATTGAGAAAAGAGAAATTAAGTCTATAATCAGTGGTTTCCCCACTTCATGATACCTAAGAATCACCCAGAATTCTTGTTAAAAATGCACAGTTCTGGACTCCTCCACCCCCAGACTTCTTTCTCAGTGGGTCTGGAGAGGGACCTGAGAATCTACATTTTTTTTTTTTTTTTTTTTACCAGTACCCTATTTGATTCTGATACTTTGTGAAAAATGGATGATGCCATGGGCCCTCTGTTTAAGAAGTTTCTAATTTCTAGTTCATAGCTGAACTGTTTTTCCACCACTCCATGTACAGGGGTGGACAGTTCCTCAGGCTGGATCAGTCTCTTTTCTGGATTCATCCCTAACCTTCTAGCAATTTATTTTTGAGATGTGAATGGAAGAGTTGACAGGCAGCTATTTTAAGCCTAAAACATCTATTTTGAAAATTAACTTTTTACTCAATAAAAGTTCATTGAATTAACAGAATTTTTAGAAGTGAAGCAGAAATGAATTAAAAAGATCAAAAGGCTTAATAGTTTACCTTACTTCACTCACTTTACACCCTCCACCTGCATCCCCAGTCGGATGGTTTGATATTGCTATGGGTCTCCAGTCACCCATTTACCCTAGCCAGCTGTCATGATATTGTAAGATGGCTCAGTGTAAACCCCAAACCACACAATGTTAAGAACTGGCAGGAGCCTCTTAGACACCTTGGGAGGCAGAATAATGCCTCCCCGCTGCCCATCGCTAAAGCTGTCTAGGTCCTGATCCCTGGAACCTGTAAATATGTTACCTTACATGGCAAAGGGGGAATTAAGTTTGCAGATGGCATGAAGGTTACTAAACTAGGAGATTATCTTGGATTGTCCAGGTGGTTACATCACAATCACAACGATCCTAAAAAGCAGGAAACGCAGGTAAAAGAGTCAGAAAAAGTGGTGTGATGATGGAGGCAGGGTCAGCGAGAGGAGAGATTCGATGTTGCTGGCATTGAAGGTGGAGGGAGGGGGATATGAGCCAAGGAATGCTGGAGGCCTCTAGAAAAGACAAAGAAACAGACTGTCTCTCCTAGAGTCCCCTGGAAGGGTTACAGCCCTGCCCACACCTTGATTTTAACCCAGTGAGTCCCATGTCAGACCTCTGACCTCCAGCACTGCATGACTTTTACAAAGCTGTGTTGTTTTAATCCACTAAATTTGTGGTAATTTGTTATGGCAGCAGTAGGTAACTAATACGAGGTCCAATCCCTTGATGGTGAGGTTCTGAAAGCCAGGATCATGGGAATTACCTGGCGGTCCAGTGGTTAGAACTCCCTGCTCTCACTGCCGAGGGCGCAGGTTCGATCCCTGATTGGGGAACTAAAATCCCACAAATGCCGTGGCCAAAAAAAAAAAAGAAAGAAAGCCAGGATCATTGCCTGGAAACTGATGATGGATTAACAGAATTACCATTACCTTCATATGTATGGGAGAGAAATACCATCAATGTCCACCAACACCTGCATTCTCAGCTAAGAGGCCAACCCCTTACACTCTCTGGGCTTGTTTCACCTATGTAATGGGAGTAGTGGTGAACTTCGCAGGGGCTCTCAAGAGCAGGCAGGCAGGCAGGCAGGCAAGGGTGAAGTCTTCAAGTTACCAATGATACTGACAGATGCCCCTTCTATAATCGCTGTCCCATGTGGTTCTTGGAGGGCTGCTGGTGGGATGATGGACCCACTTAGATATGCAGGTACACATCCTTACAGAGAGATTTTCAAAGCAGCAGTAAGACCCAGAATGGGTCAAGAACTGCTACTCTATAGAGTGCAGGGAACAGCTTCCCCAAAGTGGGAATTTCATGTAATGGCACCTCCTTACCCTAATCACCATGGCTTGGAATCTTAGTTACTTTTACTCCTCCTTACCCACTGCAATTTGTCCTAAGACCTGTCTCTGCTGCGCCCAAATGGCCCCTGCTCCCCGCCTCTCTCCTCTCGCATCATTACCGCCACCTCCTAAGCCTCCGGAGTGCCTCCCCCGCCCCAACATCTCAGACCTCCAACTGCCATCCCTGCGAGCATCTCTAGAGCCACAAGGATGGGACAGGACTGGGGATGGGTGCAGGGCGGGGGCAGTACTGGGCGGGGCGGACACGGTCAAGGAAAGTCAGACCAATGTGGGGCTCCCTGACTTGGGGTGTGAGGGCTCAGTCCTGGGGTAGGGTGGGTTGGGGAAGGACGAGCGAGGAGAAGAGCTGAATCGCTGGTGAAGGACAAGGAGGCGGCCTGAGCGCTGATATGCAGAGCTGGGGGGCACCCCCCAGCATCAGCAGCCCTTGGGGATCCCCAGAGGAGCCCGGCAGGGACCCGAGACCCTCCCCGATCCGCTGGGGCCCGTCCTCACCGGGCACCGGCCGGGCGGCGACGGCAGCGGGGCCCTCCCTCTCCGGAGACCGAGCCGCGGCAGGTCCCTCAGCCTCCGTGCCTGGGGCCCCCGTCTGGGTTCGGGCAGTCACCTCAAGCTGGGGTCACGGAGCGAGCATGCGCAGCAGGGCTTGTGGGGGGCCCATTCCTTGGGCTAACTCGATTTCTCCGGGTCTTCCCCTCGCGGGGCAGAACTGGCGGCCTGACCAATCCCGCGCGGGGGCGGAGCCAGGGCTCGCGAGGGGGCAGGACCATGTCGTTATTGGGCGGTGGCCCCCGGGGGGCGGGGTTCAGCCTTCCAGTGGCCAGACTTCGAGTTTTGGGCGGGGCTCTCCCAGGACAAGGGGGGTGGGTTTAACTGAGACCACCCTACCTCCCCCAGTGTTTGACCTCGGCTCCGCGCAGAGGAAGTCACAGCATTTGTTTAAAGGCCTCGATCGTCTCCGTCGTTCTTCTGAGCGAGCAGAGGGAAGAACTTTCAGTATGCTCATCAAAGCTACTGATTCCGCTCCGCCCAGCATCCCTGAGGGCGCAGCATTTTTGCCATTGGTCCCTCCCCGACCCTCGGTCCAGCCCTCGCCATTGGCCCCTCCCTCGTTATTGGTGCTCCCCCACCCTCCCCCGCCACAGGTGCAGACCTCGTCCATCATCCCGGCCTTCGCCCATCGGTCCAGCCCGCACTCACAGCACACAGTCACTGCACACTGATTCTCTGACTACCCTGGGCGGTGGAGACCGGGATTGCTCCCACACGGGGAGCGGCGGGGCCTGGGGGCTGCTTTCCTGGACACTTGGCGGGTGGCGATCAGAGTGGCCCAGCATCCTCCGAGCTGACACCCGCCCTGCCTCTCACCCGCCTCCCCTCCTGCACGGCGCCCCGGGCCCTCCGCTCACTGCGACCCTCCACAGCCCTCCGCCCGTCCCCCTTCGCCCCGCTAGAGCCCCCACTCTTTTAGCTGCGCGTCCTAACGTTGGCAGAATGAAGACGCTGCTGCTCTCTAGAAAACGTCACTCCCCGGACACCCCTCTTCTTCTCCTCCTTTCTTTCTCTTGCTCTAAAGCTGCTCCTGGGCTCCCAGCAGGTGCAGGTCCAGGTGCCATGAGGCCTGCCTGACCTGGACTTCAGGCATTTCCCACGTTCTCCGCATCTTCTGCATCCGCCGTGTCCTCCAGTTCTCCCGCGTTCTCCTGTATCCTCCTCCTCAAGTCCAAATATCAGCAGAACCTGCAACTGCCTCTACAAAGGCTCCTAGCTCCCTCCTCCCCCGCCTCACCCCGCCACCGCCGCCCTGGCTCTGCAGATCCCTGATCACCACCCTCGGTTCAGCAGCCACGGCTTCCACCGAACTCCAATCCTTTCTCCAGGGGCCAGGTCATTTCCTGGGTATTCTTCAGAGTCATTCAAAGGCCTTCATGAATTTATTTGCCATTATCTATTAATAATCCACTAACTACTGGTTGTTTCTAATTTTATTACGTTATAAATATCTTTGTATCTAAATTCCTGACATCTGATTATCCCCTTTCTTGAAATTTCAAAAAATAGTAAAAGAAGGCAAATGTCTTAAGAGCTTTTTATTTTATTTTTGATAAGTTTTTTAAAAAATTATTTATTTTTATTTATTCATTTTTGTCTGCATTGGTTCTTCGTTGCTGCGCGCGGGCTTTCTCTAGTTGTTGCGAGCGGGGGCTACTCTTGGTTGTGGTGCGCGAGCTTCTCATTGCGGTGGCTTCTCCTGTTGCAGAACATGGGCTCTA